CGATAGGAAAATTGGCAAACGCGCAACGAGCCAATTTCTGATAAAAAAAATCTGCTCTCTTCCCCTGTTGTTGTCCAACTGACGATTTTATCAACGCCGAATTCGGCATCTCCCGCGGTAACAACATGGCGGCGCGACCACATGATCGAAGGCGCGTGATTGGTAGAATTAATCGGGTCCAGGTGCGGAACTATGACTTACTGATCATGCACCATTGACCGTCGCGTTAGGTAAATTTGCTTCGTTTTATATGTACCTTTCCGTGCCTTCGACTTCGACACTTCAAAAATTCAATTTGTTCAGCAACGTCAAATAAACGATCTTGAATGAAGCGAGAAATTATTACGGCCCGTTGGCTCCATTCTGTTTGTTACACATCGATAGCTAGTGAACCACGTGACTTCTTCGCAGTGACGGATTAAGAACGCGTGGGTATTTGGCAGCAGTGGCGCTCGCCTCGGGCCCCATGAAGCTGGAGCCCCCACACAAAAATAAAAATGTATATTACTTGATCGAGAATTTCCTATGTGTGATTGAATTTTCGAAAAAATTTTGCAGTTGTATATGCAACTTTAATTTTGATTAATGTATCTATTTCGCCCACGATAAAATTATGAAAGTTTTTGAAGTTTATATGAAGTGCTAAAATGTATTGAAAAACATATTAAAATATGTTAAATATTATTTCATTCGTGTAACTGGTGGTGCTTGTATTTGTGTCGTTTGGATTAAAAATTTCGTGAAATGTTAGACTCGTTTAGTACTGCAGTAACAAATCATTATTGACTCGTTTTGAGGATACTAGATGCTTATTACAACTATTATAAACTCTATTTTTAATAGAGCCTCAAGAAAGGCCCTGGGCCTTTTGAAAACTAACTCCGTCACTGCTTCTTTTTATTACGATAAATGTGCCAACTGTAAAACTGATATTTTTCAAGAAATAATAGAATTTAAATTGTCGATGAATTTTATTTTCAAATTTGAAAATTCCGGTTTGAATCGCGCGCAAAATATCCATATCTTTGGCTCCCTCGTGAATTTTCATATAGTTTGATCCTTGTCTGTTCTTTTATAGATACAAAGGATATTCTACATCAAAGGCAGAGAAATGCATAGAAATGAGATTTCGAAGTCATGGTCGTGTTAGAAAATTTTGGAACAGGCAAATCCAATTTTCATCGTAACCTACAAGAGGTTCTATTTCGAAATTGAAATAAGGTATCGACAAACATAAACCATTTGTCTACAAGTATCCACAAAGGAATTCTTCTAACCTCAAAATATTTTTACATTGAAAGAATTTAATAATAATTATTAAGCAATGCGATGCAAGTACAAAAATAATTTTATATTGCATATAAAAATAAATAAATAATAATTAATTGCATTTATTGAAAAGATTTTAATTCGTACTTCACCTACTTTTGGTGTATATTGTCGAAATAATCGCGACGGAATTTTCACTAACCTAAAAATATTGCGAAACTATTCGAGCAGATTTGGTCGAAAATTTTCTGAGCTGTTCAAAAGGTATTTCAATTATCCGACAACCTATATTCTAGTTGACTGGTGACGAGTAATTTTCGTGGAAAATTTAGTACAAATTATGCAAACACGAATGCAAATGTAACCCGAACGTTGGTCCGGTAGTGTTGTCACGGCCGGATCAACGAACTATAGGGAAGAGCTGACCACGCTGCTCTATATTCCGTGTTCGATGCGTTTGCATCATGAAAAACGTACCGTAGTCGCCGAAGCGGCTCGTGTCAGCAGTTGTTGACTCGCTGTCACCGATAAAACGCGTCTATTGCATCCGTGTCGGGGCCACGCGTTCCTTTCTTCTCCGCTGCATTTTCCTCGATTTTTTCCAAATCGTCTCGTTGAAACTCGACGTGGAGAAATTCATTCTCACACTTCACCGAACATTCACCGTCTCCGGACAATCACCCTCCATCCCGAATCTTCAATTACGTTTGTCCAACATACTCTTTCTTAACACACTCCACGAACGAGTTATTCGCGCGACATTTAACGTTACGACGCGTCCTCAAAAGCCACGCAGTGGAATGAATCAGTGGAAAGGCAGCCGCAAGCAGTAGAGTGGATTAAGCTTTGCACCAGCACTGGGATAGTAATCTGCCGCGGGATAGATATAAATACCGATAACGCGATTGAAATTTTGAAAACGATCCGGCAAAAATTTCGCTTCATTCGTGGACAGATTAATTGAAACGAATGCAACGTTTAGCGATTAAAAAATACGTACGAATGTTTATTCTTGAAATATGCGCCCGCTTAATTGATACAACGTATAGGCAGCTTACTATTGAAATTAAAACGAGTATTTAACCGATAATGCATCTGCCGATAGATTACGCAAATTTTTAACGAAACCGTTCACTTTTATGAGAACCTTTTTAACGGATCGCTACACACCGTTAACAAATCATCGTCCAACGAGGTTGAAGTTTAATCAACTTATGAACAGTTACACGGTAATCGTATTCTCACACAACCTAACTTTTCCCGGTGTAGTTCCTTTCTAACTGTTGGAAAGAACTCTGTCCTGAGAAACACCTTTTTGTCGACTCGTTTCACGATAGATCGGCTTAAATGCTCACAGCGGCCAAGCTATCCCGAACGAATCGAATTTCCACGTGACAGGCTGGTGCATCCTGCGCGGTGAGGCACTGACGGAAGATCCAACTCGCGACGACTCGCGCAGTCCACGATCAGTAGCTCAGCCGCCGGTGCTTCCGTTTTCCGTAAGTGCCACTCATTCGTCATTCAGCACGCACACTCCGTCCTCGGTGAACACGTTTCGTCGCGTGTGTATACGCATGGCCGATACCTCGAGCAGCGCCGGCAGAGCGACTGAAACGGAATCGCCGCACCACGCCGGAGCAACAGAGAGGGAAGCAGAGACAGACAACGCGAGTAAGAAGGACAGAAGAAACGGGCAAGGACGGGGAGGAACCGGTCAGGGAGGGGAGGAAGGAAAAAGGAGTCGGTAAGATGGATAGGCAGATAAGTACACGATCAAAAGGAAGCAGGTGGGTGTGAGTGAGCGATGTCCATAGAAGACTAAGAAAAAAGTGGAAGAGAGAGAGTGCGACCGAGAGAGTTCCGTAAAGAGACCAGTGAGCGAAATGCTGCCGTGCTGGAGACCGCGATCCAACTGCGCCCGCGCTTAGCCAGATATCAGCCCCCAACCACCGGTGGCGTCGACTCTTACCACCACCTCCGCCTCCGCTGCCGCGGTTCGCTCGCTTCACTCCGCTCTACACCGCTCCGCGCCAACCTCGTTGCTGCCGGGACTGCTAGCAATGCTAACGCTGCCGCGCTAACGCCATCAGTCGATAGCGCTGCTATTATTATTGCCATGATCGACACCTCGACCATTATGACGTCGTATCCGTTGCCTATTAAATTCGATAGCGTGATTGCTTGTTACGATCACGTGT